GGGCTTAGCCCTGACCAGGAAGTGAGCTGAGCTGAGATCAAGTCTGCAGACCCTCAGGAATGCTAGAGGGTTCTTTTCACAAAGTACTGAAGGCCCATAAACCCCACAAATCATGGGCAGAATTCTGATTGCATAGTGCTTGCGTTCATTTCCTGCCAGATGCCTGCATGAAAATTCAGCACATGGTGGACTTAGGGCAGAAAGAAAACTGACCAGAGCCCAGGAAGCCAAGCCAGGGAAATCCAGTGGATCCCCACCCACAAGCCAGATTCATTACACATCACTAGTGTAAAGCAAGTGGTCCCTGCAACAAAATATTGCGGTACATCCTCACCCACTAACAGGTGTGCTCTTGTTCAGGGTTGCAGGCAACTATTCATGCCCTTGTCTGGGGGATAGTAAGCTGTTAGGGGCTCCAACAAACCAATTCATGCTCTCACCGTGCTCCCTGTGCTGCACTGCTTTGTTGCCGAACCATGGGTTATTGCGTTGTCTGAACCCAGCAGAGATAATATACCATGGTGCATAACCCAACAACAAATCATGGGTTCTCTTCATGGGTGGTTCCTGGTTAACAAGCCATGGCTTATTAATGCTGTTGGGTTCAGGCAACACAATAACCCACATTTTAGCAACCATTTACAGTTTAACAACAAGAACCCACAGTCAACCTTATTCAACACTTGAGTGTGAGTTTGTCATCTTGTTGAACCCAGTCACTGTTGTATATGGGATGAGTCAGAGAAAGAAATATGGAAACAAGCTGTTTGACATGCAGAAGGAGAGTGAAGTTTAGTTTGCTGTCTAAAAGATTCCTTTTGGCCTGGAAAATGGTGGGTTCAAAGGAGTTGCTTGGCTTGTATAAGAGAGCCAGTGTGGTGTAGTGGTTAAGAGCACAGGACTGGGACTCAGGTGATCTGAGTTCTACTCCCTGCTCATCCATGCAGCCAACTGGGTGACTCTGAACCCATCACAGACTCTCAGCCCAAACTTCCTCACAGGGTTGTTGTTGTGGGGTAAGATTGAGAGCAGAAGGAGGAGAATGATGTGAACCACTTTGAGTTCTTAAAAAGAAAAAGAAAAAAGGCAGGCTATGAATCTAATCCAGCCCAGTCCAGTCAATAAAATATTTAGGCCCATACTCCACCTCTGCCTTGCATGCTGTTTGAGGGCAGGATTCTTGGCCTTGGTGCCAATGGGAGCCCATTTTGTGGGGTGCCCAGGACAATTTCTTTCATTTCCAAATGTGCTCCCTGGCTCAAAAAAATTAAAGACCCCTTTTTGAGTTAGATGAATCAATAGTTTGACTCAATTTAAGGCAGCTTCTGACTTACTCTCACAGTCTGGGCTATACAGGTTCTCCAGCTTCTCTTGACTAAAGTGAGCCCTCCTTAACACTTGGCTTAGGTGCTGTTATTCCATGAAGCCCAGTACAGGATTGCCCTTGAATGATGCTGTCCCACACAAGCTTCTCCTCCCAGCATTTCAAAAGAGTCCGGGCCATTATGCTTGAGCAAGTGTCCCAGTTGCCAGGCAAATTAAAACTATCTGTACACAAGCACTAGGCTTTGATGGAATAGTCTGTCCTTGGTGGGAATAGGCTCCACAGAGGAGGAGCAGATGCTGGTCAACTTTGTCAACAGATGCACAGTGTGTTTGTGTGCATGTGTGTGTGCATGTATAAGACTTGCCTGTAAGGTGTTTGTGTGTATATTCACGTAGATGAACAGAGGTGTGTGTAAGGGTTCGATCCAGCACACTCTGCTTCAGATGCATGTTGCCTCCCAAACTTGGAGGCTTACAGAAAGCATGGCACCAGCAGCCTCCTCCACCAGCATGCTTGGAACTGTGTACTTTGTCAAGATGGAAGTTCTGGGACATCTAGATAAACACTGGGGAAAGGAAAGGGAAGGAGGGTGGAGAACTGATAGAAATCAGTGAAAACTTTCTCTCATCCCTTCCCTCCAACATGTTTCTTTTCAGCCTCTCCATGGGTCAGTGACAACCTCAGGGAGGCGGCTGCTGGGGATCTTCCCAATCCAGGGGGTGGAGGATTGGGGCCATCAGCCTCCACAATTGTGGAATTTTAGAGCCAGAGTTCTGAATAACTCTATGGCATCCCAGATGACATCAGAAAGCCAGGATTATGCTTTGAGATGATTAAGGGAATAGACATGGATGATGCATCTCACATGCAAATAAAATTACTCATGTGAGTGTACAGTGGACTCTCTTTTATTATTACCATCTTTATTGTCAGCAACGTATTGTTTTTACTTCACTGGCCTTCATAGATAGAGATTTTCAGTTGGAGGATGATGAGTGTTAAACATGACAGGGTACAAGGATTCTGAGTCTATAAGAGATAAGGTATTAAAAGACATGGAGGAGCAAAAGAAGGGAAAAAGCTGGTTGTGGAGAATGGCAGACAGTTCACTTGCTTGCTGTGTCAAGTTTGTTAGGTTTGGGCCTGGACAAAAACTTCAGGGGTGCATAAAGTCTCACAAGAAGTGAGCATTAGGAACTTCCGAATCCTTCTGCTGAACTTAAATCAAGAGGAGAAGTCCTACTTTGCTGCTACTTCTGCCCATTCTGGTTCAACCCTTCCAGCCACACAGACGCAAGACAGCTTCAAGGGTGCATGAGATGCTTTTGTGTGCGTACAAATGAACTTTCCCGGCTGCCCATAGCTTGCCTTCCATGGCATGGACTACAGGGTTTGCAAGCCCTACTGATTTTTCCTTTATCCAGAAGGATCCCTTACCTGGCCACAGGAAGCTCTTGTTTTTAGGAGTGCATGAAAGTATCCAATTCAGAGGGGTGGTCTGGCTTATTTCCAAGGTAAGCCATGGGTGTTTGCTCCTCTTTAGACCAAAGGGATTTCCATCTACCCCTCTAAGTCTTAGACAAAGGGCTGGTTGTTTTGTGTATCCAACCTGTTGCTTGACTTGAGTATAGCTCCTGCTGTCTGTGCTCACTTGCCAGCTCAGGGGTTTGCTTTGCTTGCAGGCTGCCAGCTGGGACACTGGGGACCTTTAATACAGTGAAATAGTTTTGCCCCAGCAAGTACCAAAGTCATTGTGTGCTGTAGCACAGGCACCATTTGGCTTTGTGTCTTCCTCAATGGCTCCCTTGTTCTGATGCTCAATCCAACTGTAGTTAAGGATTTATGCTTCAGGAGCAGAGCCTAAGCACTCTTCCACAATGGCCATATTAGCTGGGCCTGGTAGGAGTTGTACACCAAAAGATCCAGAGAGAGCTACTTCTCTTGGATCTTCAGAGGTTTTTATGGTCACAAAGACCTCTATTACAATACACTCACCCAAATACAAAGATGCCCACTGTTTCTGCTCACTCAAATCTGAATCTAATTAGAATATGCGTTAGATACCCCCCCACACACACACACATAATTAAGATTAGGCAACTACTCTTTATGTGGCATTAAAACAAAAATCTTTATTAGGAAATACAAAGAAGAGAATTTATTTTTAACTTAATGTATCAAAAGGGATTTTTAAAAACACACAATATTTCCCAATACAGCTATACACTTATTACAAAATATTACAAACATCTCATATTAATGGTTCTGTTCAGTCTGGATAACCAGCTTAAATGTACAGTAACTTGTCCTTTCAGGATTCAACCTCTGTAGTAGCTGCAGTTACATATGTTGTTTGCCATTCTCGCACATGCACATACCGGAGCTGGGCTATCAGGATTCGGTAGTCCTGCATTTGCCATTGTCTATGCACAGGTGGCAATATTTTAGAAGCAGTGGAATTGCTCCCCTCTTAGACCTTCCATCTCTCAAGCACCAATCTTGTCTCTGTTCTAATTATTCAGTAGAAGACAATTTTGCTACAGGGGAAACCCCCACCACCATGTTGTTAGCTTTAAAAGCAAACCAAACATGTTCAAGCACACATCCAACCAAGCTGCTCCCCAGTGGAGGCTGGTGGTGGCCATGTCACTGGAGTCGTGCATCCATTCCAAGTTGCATTCTGAACCTTGACAGACCTATCCATGCTGCTAAACCAAGGGAAGGCAGGATTCAGAACCATGGATAGCTCCCTCAATGCCCAGAGGGGAGCTCACACTGGAGACACCATCGCACTGCCTTCCCCCAGTCTCAACTTTTCTTTAAGGTTCTTTGGTAGTGAGGCATTTGTGTCCAGGAAGAAGGTAGTCTTGTATGCCACCACCCCTTGTATTGCTGAAGAAGCAATCATGCTATACAGGTGAAACACATCCCAAAAAGAACTTTACAAAATGTAAAAGCAACCTCCCTTCTCCAAATACCAGAAGTTACACATGAATGGAAGAGGAGGAAATGTGTTCCTAGTCAATGCCCATGACAATGGTACATATTTGTACACAGACGTCTTTATGGCAGGACATTCCACAATTGTGGCACAAGGGCCAGAAAAGTTCTGTGTCAGTACCATCCTAATATCTTGAAGGACAGAATTTGAAAGAGCAAAGAATTCTCTCAAGTGAAACAGAGCAGACTTCAGCTACAACAACGAAAGCCTACATGTCTTTGGGCTTTCTTTACTTGTTAATAAAACACTTTCCAGTGAGGTTATGAGAAATGCATGCACAACAGCTGCTGAAAAAATTTACTGCCAGTGGAGGCAGTAGAAACGCCTTGATAGTTTCTTGACCAGTATAAAAACTCTTTCAGTCTCCCTCAAAGTTCCTGAGATGCTTTGCCTGAGGAGAAATACCCAGATTTAACTCAACGATTGCTTTAGATATAATTCAATGGCAACCTGAAGGTGCAGTGTATCTTTCTGAAAGTGATTCCATTTCCTTTGAAATCCTTCAGGCAATCCTTCATCACAATTTCCCTTGAATATTGCATAAAATGAAATTCAGTGGTTACTCTAATTTCCAGCTGTCAACTGCTAAAATGCTAAAATAAATTAAAAGAAGAGGTCAAATTCTGACCTCAGACTACAACATAGTGTCAGGTGTGTTAGTTTTTAATTCAATTAATACCCATCCTGGCAATCATTGTCATCATAATCACTAAAGGGTTTATTATGATCGATGTCAAGCATCAACTTTCGGCTTTCAAGCTCCATGCTTCTCGACCAGCTGTCTTCTGCACTCATAGAGTCATCTCTTGAATGATTGTCCCTTTCCAATGAATAGCTGCTTTCCTCCTCTTTAGATTCACTGTTTTCTGCTGATTCTTTAGACTTAGGATCTGAAGAAGGATCTTCATTGGAGTCACTATCTTTACTGCTAGCACTTTCTTGGGATGATTTGCTACTGTCAGATGATGTACTCTGAGACAACCTGCTGTCATCCTGGATGGATTCACTTGTGTCCTCAGCTGATTCTTCACTTTCCTGTACAGATGTGCTCTTCTCACTTGATCTGCTATGTTGTCTCTTAACTTCTCTGGATTCACTGCTCCTTGGTGGCACATTTCCTAGCTCTTCCGCAGAGTAACTCTCTTGTTCTTTAGATTTGCTGGCACTAAGCTCATCTGATTTTTCACCTAACTCTTTAGACATTTTATCATGGGAGTCCCTGCTGTCTTCAGTAGATACACTCTTTGTATCTTCCACAGAAACTGTGTCATCATCCTCACTAGACTGACTAGCCATGTGTTCTCTAGATTGGCTGTGCACATCATCTTCTGTGGACTGGCTGTGCAAATCATCCTCTCTGGACTGGCTGTGCAAATCATCCTCTCTGGACTGGCTGTGCAAATCATCCTCTCTGGACTGGCTATGCACATTGTCTTCCCTGGACTGGCTGTGCAAATCATCTTCACTAGACCAGCTGTGCCTATCTTCTCTGGACTGGCTGTGCCTATCTTCTCTGGAATGGCTGTGCTTATCTTCTCTGGAATGGCTGTGCTTATCTTCTCTGGAATGACTGTGCTTACCTTCTCTGGAATGGCTGTGACTATGCCCTCGAGATAAACTCTGTACTGCCTCTCTGGAATGACTGGTTGCATCTTCCCTGGATTTACTGGGAACATTTTCTGTTGAGTGACTAATATCTTCTACAGATTGGCTGTTCTCTTTTGAGTCAAACTCATCCTCTTGCAGGGATTTGCTTTCATCATGTTCAGGACTGTGATCTTCTTCAGAATCATCGTCACTTTCTTTTGAATGGACAGCCCCATGGAGCATGTGAGAATCACTGCCATGACTCTCAAAGATCCTTGGGTCATCTCCTTGCATTTCTTCATCTCTGAAATCATATCTGTCCTCTTGGCTGCTACTGTGACTATCACTCCCATGTGTTTTGCTATAATCAATAATGTGGTTATCCTCTTTATCACGGCTTCTGCTCTCGCTGCTGCTGCTGCTGCTGCTGCTGCTGCTGCTGTCACCATGGCGTCGGCCAATCGCATTGTAACCTCCTTCTTCTCCAGTGGCTATGGAAGGTTGCTGATCATCTCCACCACCCGGAGACAGGTCTTCTCCATTATGTCCATCCAAATTGTCATCGCCGCTCACATCTTCATCATTTGCCAGGTCACTGCCGCCTTTCCCCATAAATGTATATGAGACTTGATCAGGTATATAAAGCATGCCATCATTTTCAACATCGAAGTGTTCTTTTGATGTTCTGATGTTATTGTAAGAGTGGTCTTCATGAATCTCGTTTTGATCCTCCTGTGCAAGAAAATGGAGAGAAAAACTGAAGATGGCACCATTTATCATAGCATAAGAGGTTCTTAGAGTTGTTCAGGCTAAGTGCTGTTCTTGCTTCTGCAAGTTACTTAACAGCTTACATACTGCTACAACTACTTCTCTCCATTTTATCCTTCCAACATCCCTGTGAAATAGATTGGGCTAAGAGGCAGTGACTGGCTCAAAGCTATCCAGTGAACTTCATAGCCAAGGAGGACTAGAACTGGGGTCTCTTGAGTCCTGCACTCTAACCACAGCCCCACCATGGTCCTCACCTCCATCTACTGTGAGGGTACTGAACTGCAGGCTCATGGTCCCAGCATGGGCTCCTTGGCCATGCCTGCCACCGGCTCCAGCCCCATTTCCCCAACTGCCAATCATTTGGTGTTTTCACAGTTTTTTTCCAAGACAGAAAGATTGGAAGGGCTTAAAATAAGAACTTTAAGTTAAAATGCATTGTTATTAGGAGACTTTTACCCCACTTTCCCCTTTGCTCCACCAGCCACTGGAATGTGGGGCCTCAGGAGCTTCTTTGAAATTGAATTAAGCCCTTGGGCTGAAAGGGAATCAACATCCTTGATTTACTCAACTCCAGAGTTAATACTGGAACATTCTGAGTACCTACCAGAGACATTCTCTCAGTTGACCAATCATCAGAGCTTGCTCCATTAATGTCTTTCAAGTCAGGATGATCGTGGGAATCCTCATCATCTGCCCATTTCCTATGGACTGGTTGATGAGGTCTAAAATATCTGCCATCATCATTGTCCTGAGTGCTCCATTCATGGTCATCTTCTGAGGTACCCTCAAGGCTACTGCTGGAAACCTTCCTGGGAAAGCTGTTCCCTTCACTGCTCTCCTGGCTGGTGCTCTCATGTTTGCTGTCGCCATGATGTTTACTTCCGGTTTCTGTGCTTACACTCAGCCTGCTCCCTCTGTCTTCATCACTAACATCTGTTGTATCCACTTCCTCATTCAAGCTTTCTTTGATGGCACTAGCCTGTACAAAAGGTGGAAAGGAAAGGCTGTGTTACTGCAGGTAGGGATCAGTGAACTGCCTGTTTCACCTTCTTCTGCATTCAGATGCTTTAAAATTACAAGTTCTTTTGGTCAAGTGTAGGAAGAAATTTGAAGATTTGAATCTGAAATTTGTTTGTTCTACCAAACAAAGAACTAGACCCATTTTCACTTCTTGTATTTGGCACTAGCCAAATACAAGAAGTCAGTTATTCCTAGTATAGAGAAGGTTGATTTCAATGGGTCTACTCTACATCTCACTAGCTCTGGATCCAACCCTGGAATTTCTGCCTGGATAATCCTGGAACTGTAGGGCTACCATGTGCCTTCACCAACACCCAGCTCAGTATGTGAAGGCTGTTTTTGTTTCTCGGATGGTATGTTTGCTATGCCACATGCAGTGTGACCATGAGCTCAGGCCCTGCAGAAGTTCACTCCCAGGAAGTTGCCTTCCCTCTCAACTATTATCTCCACCAGCAGCCATTTCAGCAGGCTCCCTTGAGGGAGCACAGCAGAAGAACCAGGGCGGAAAGACTTACTCTGCTCCTTGCTGCCTCCTCTTTTCTCCACATTTCTTTTTCCTTGTGTATGATTTCTTTATAGGTTGCGAGCCTATTAGCATGGACTGTTTTGTCGTTCTGTTTATATGTAAGCTCTCTTTTGGCTGAGAAGCAGAATACAACTTTTTAAAATCAATCAGGGATCACCCGGAGTGTGTAGCATTCTTTCCTATCTTGGACTTCCAGGAGAATTTTGTGGCAAAATTCTGCATTTGATGTTGGGGCATTGCATGAAAGGAGAAAGAGAAACCATTTGCTTACCCAGTGTTCCTCAGAGCTCCGGTGATTTGCGGCTTGGTGTCTGGATACCTGAATATATTAAAAGAAGAAAGTCTGAATGAATGGAGCTGTGCTGTTAAATAAGTCAGTCCACACAAAATATTTTGTGTTCCATTTATTTCAGTGAAATAACTTTCTGACATCCCAAAATTCTTGTTATGTTTCCAGTTCTGTTTATTAAAAAAATACTTACAGGGCGGGCACTAGATAGCACCCAGATGGAGAAAAACACAAGTGCAGTCCTCCTGGTATTCATTTTTGTATCTATAGCAACAACAGAAGAACAGTGTTAAAAAAGAGATTTTGTATACGTGGTCAGCAATTGTACTAATCAGGAGGGGGACAAAAGCCTTCACTACAATTTTCTTTTTGCCAGGTTGCTGCCAATTGTGTACCTGACTGGCTGATGCTGTAAAACTTAAGCTGGGCTTCCTAAAACTAAAATATTATTTATATAGGATGGCAAGGGTGAGTGGCAGGCCCGCTGTTGGTTGCTGGCAGGCCAGATTTAACCCGTGAGCTGCCAGCTGCAGATTTCTACATGCTCTGAGTAACAAACCCAGACTTTCTGAAACTACGCCTGATCATATGGTGCATGCTGTGAAGAATCTACAGGAGAAAACCAAAATAATGCACTTATTATTTTCCAGGCAAAGCATGTATTCTACTGCGCCTACCAGCTGCATCTTTAGGGATGATGGAGAAATCTGAAATAGATTTTATGATCTCAGATTCTAATGAATTTGACCCATAGATTCTGCAGCAGACTAGCATAATCCAAGTCATATGGATTCTGTGGACTTGAAGACGTTTCTTTTAACTTTTCTGGAATTGTACACAAATTTTGTTATATGAAAATATGAAGGGTACTGAAAAATATGCCAATATATATGACTGTAAAAAAATATCCAATCTCTCTAGCTTCTGTTGTGTAGCACTTTTTTATGCACTCTTGCTCATTAATTGTAGGAAAAATGCACAAAATCCTACATGCCAGCAAAAGTTATATAAATTGCATCAGCATAGGGTAAAAGAATTTGATTCCACGGATAGTGAAAAAGAGATTTGACATTATGCAAAATACAAGTGGAATGGGTGAAACAAAATTAGTACATCCCTATACAATTTAGACTATACAAATGAAAATGTCTTGTTATGAAAGGACACACTTAGAATTGCAGATTCTTGTTTGTAAAATATTACCTCCTGGCAAAAAATCAAGTTGTTGCATACAGAATACTGATAGTTTTTTGGAGTTGTTTAAGTAATTGTGACAAGCCACCACACTTCAAGTTGTACCTTGGAAATGCTGAAAGGAGTTCACAGAAGTATGGTTTTACAATTTGGTATGAGTGTCATAGATGCCCTTTGGATAGAGCTTTTAACAAGTAACACAGTCCACACACACACCGGTTGGATGTAAATTTAGACTTAGAATCAAGATAACATATGGCTACATTTGGATCCAGTCACCTATTATTAAACTATGTTAATGTTAACTATTGTTAATGTTATTAAGGCTGTATTTTGCTACTCACTTACAAGGGAGTAAGCAAAAGTGAAATCAGTGAAATTGCTTTTTTACAGTTCCTCCAAGAATGGAGGTTTATCTCAAACATCCACCTAAACACACATACTTTTTTAGTGCAAAATCTCCCTGAAAAAGGAAAACTACGTGTTTTTCCTTGCAATATCAGCCGATCAATTTCAGGACTAAGTTACATGGACTAAGACTGCCTTTGTGGTGCCCCCACTTTAGAATTAAAGCTGTCAGCATCTCCACCCCCAGCTAACAAGGCCCAGTGCTCACTGGTGAAGGGAATTGTAGTTCAAAACATCTGAAGGGTACCAAATTAGGAAACCCTGGATTACAGGGAGTAAAGACAGTTAGGGAAATGAAAATTTCACCCTACTCCCGCCTAAAATGAATCCCCTACCACTTCCCCATAGACATACATGCATTAAGGTTTTTTCCATTATCAAGCTGTTTGATCTGCTTCCATGGTAAATAACAATAGAGAAATGACTGCCATGGTTCCAGATGATCATACCTTTATGTACCCAGGCATTCATGATTAATTAGTCTAGAAAATAACTTTACATGTATCCTTGCAGTGTGGTTTGGCAGCTGGTCTTGCTCCCTCGGTGAAGCATACATCCTGTGTAACAATAGCTAATCTAGTTGAGATTACTGAGCAATGTAGTGAGCTAATCAACTAACTTGACGTGCTCCACAAATCAAGGCCAGACTGCTCTGTTTCTAAGAAGCTCCAACCAAGCTCCATAGAAGTGAATGGCAGCATTTGTAGAGTAAGTTGCTATCGAACAAGGAAGACCCTTGCTCTGTAACTGAAAAGTTCACACATGGATGTGGTGCATTTGTTAAGTCGTCCCAGGTGATGACTTGTGTGTGTAAATCGCTATCATGGATTAACACTCACTGCAGCAAACTTTCACACAAACTGATACAACCAAAGTGCAGCACTTTTGTAGGTGACATTAACCAAGATATCAAGAGATGAACATACATGTTTGAATCCAAATCCATTAGCCAGTGGGGCAACTTAGAACTCACAAGAAATCCTAGAAATGCACTACATGGTAGGAGCACATGGTAGAAGCAGGAACTGATTTGGAGGCCAAATTCTCTTCGTTTGTTTCTGTAGTTTTTCCTTTGCACACTTTAAATTTGAATTTTCTTTGCTTTCTAACATTCCCCTTGATGACCATGTTCAATTATCAAAACCCCTTGTTGCATAAAACCCCCTTTAAGGCTTCCATTCACATCTAATACCACCAGGTATTTGAAGAAGCAGACAAGAGGCATTTCGTATTTTTCATCTTCATCATGCATATGCTTCCCATTTCCAAGAGGGATTCTTGGAATCTTGGAATGGGAATCTGAATTCCCATTCAGACACTATCAGTAGGCACCTCCTGGATTAGTTTCATTCCTAGCAACATCAGAATAAAGAGAAACATTAAAATATTTACCTGTATGCTTGTTTCAGTGGACTTTCTCCAGGATTTTTTTTATCTGCTCTACCCGCACAGATAATTTTACTGTCTTATTCTCCAATATCCGTTTTTGGTATTGTCTATGACAGCGCATGAATTTAAACTCTGCTTCAGCTAAGAGAGGACCAATCAGCAGTCTTGAGGAAGGGGGTGATGTCATAAAGGTGTCATCAGGCTTCCAGCCTGCCTCCGCTTCCTTTCTGCCCCCAGAGGCATATTTTCCCTAAAAATAAGCTGTGGTTCTCAAAATGACTAGACTAGTTTACATTTAATGAGAGATCTTGCTAAGGGTTCATTTGGATTTCTAAATTTATGCCATTTCACATGCATACAGGTTTATGAGCATAAACATTTGCAGCATTACCCACGCATGCAGCCAGCGTGGTGTCATCCTCGCGTCGGGGTTGTTTCCTGTGAATCTATGTCTTGTCCAAGCAGACAGTGTGTGCTGAAATGCTCCCAAGAGCTGCATCTTCAGGGGGAAAAAATGTGGGCTACCGTATCTTCTTGCCTTACAGCCACTGTGTAGGAGGATGCGGAGAACAGCTTCCAAGTTAAAATGAAACTGCTGAATTTGCCCTTTGCGGCTAAGATACAGCAAAGCTGTATGTTGCAAACAGACATGGGGAAGAAGAATGTGCATAGCTGGAGTTTTCTTTAGCATCCCCACTTTGGCAATGCATACTGGAGAAGATACACAGTGTTTTTCAGAATCAGCACTGCAGCCGAAACTGTAAATCATGTTGCCTCTCCAATCTGTAGTAAACACATGAAAGATGCCTCTGACTTTGAAGCACTGGACAGTTTTGTTATAGACTCTCAGAACAATGAACGAATGTGGAGCACAGTTAAGAACCAGTACGCTAACCTTATAGGTCCCTTCCAGCTCAACTGTTCTATGGGTCTATGATTCTATGAATATTATGCAGAATGCTAAATTTTCATCATATTGTTCTTACATTCCTGGACAATGCTAATGTTAGTAAATGAAGTGACGAGTATGCTGAAGGAATTCCATCTTTCTGATATGACCTGACATGATTCACAACTCTCAGGATATAAGACAGATTGGAACATAAATTTTACAGTTCTCCAAAAGTTGCAATAGAATTCTTGATCCAATATGCATTCAAATGTCATATTTGAGATAATATGCATTCAAATGTGTATATTGAGAGAAAAATGATGTAAAGGCACCCTAAATCACAATAAACTGCCAGCAATGGCACATCCAGTTTATAAAAAGGAAGGAAATACAAACAGTTTGTAAAAAGGCTTTTTTTAAAAAAATTAACTAGATGTGAGATTGCTGGGTATTTATTGCAGTTTGAAGTGCCATATCATGTTTATCACATCACCCGTTGCTGGTTTAAAAGTATGCGTCTTTAAATATGTCCTTAATTGCAAATCTGTATGCAAAGCTTTAAAAATCCATGCGGAAATGGGGCAGAATGGACTCTGGAATGAACTCATGCAAAAAGTGACACAGACTGGAAATCAAGTGATTCTTCCATCCCTCCGAGGAGGCATGAGGAGCAATTGCACCATCAGCTGCACCCAGCTTTGCCTGAAATAAAACTTTGCCACATCCTGTTAGTGAGGCACAAGGACCTGGAGGCTGAGCGAGCTTATCCGAGCAGAAGAAGGGGCACGGCAGCAGCAAGTAGCTTCCCCACTTCCCCACACACAGCCCGGCCACTTCCTCATAACACCCACAAGGAATGTTAGGAATAGCTGCCAGGAAGGGTTTCTCCCAAGCTGGTTTGAAAGCCAGGCTTTATAAAGAACCGAGTGGAGAAACTTTTCTTTTTTCTTTTCTTGTTTTGATTTCACAGAAATCTCTCAGATAATTCCCAGCAGATAATGTCTATCTCAGGGATTGGATACCTTGGCTCAGACGTCAATTCAAAGGGAGACTGCAGTCAATAAATTCAAACAAGATCAAAGCTTGGGAGGGCAGCAATGAAAGAATCAGAAGATCATCAAGTGTAAGGAAGTTTCACTAAAGACTAATGCCAGGATCATTCATACTATTGTATTCCTGGTCACTATGTATGGGTGTGAAAGCTGGTCAGTGAAGAAAGCTGACAGGAATAGACAGTGCTTTTTCTGTAAAAAATAAAGGTGCCGGAACTCACCTCACCGCAGGCAGTAAGCACACACACCAATCCCAAGCACAGCAGTGGAGCAGCGTCCCAAGCCGCTGTCTCTCACTATCAGATAGCAGATAGCAGGCACAATAGCAGCCTGCAGGCACTATGTTAATGATGTTTGCTGCTGATGGGGTGTTCAAAATCACTTCATAAAATCTATTGAAAAAAGGTGCCCCCGTTCCTGTGCATTCTATGACCAAAAAAGCCCTGGGAATAGATACCTTTGAATCATGGTGCTGGAGGAGAGCTTTATGCATACCAGGACTGACCTAAAGATCAATAAGTGGGTCCTCGGATCAAAACAAGTCAGAGTTTTCCCTAGAAGCAAAAATGGCAAAACCGAAGCTGTTATCCTTTCGGCACACCTTGAGAAGGCAAGCCTCACTGGAGAAGACAGGCATGCTAGAGAAAGTTGAATGCAGAAGAAGAAAAGGAGGACCAAGTAAGAAATGGATTGACTCCATAAAGGCAGTGACAGCCTTGAATTCAGAGCAGCTGAGCAGGGCTGTCATGGGCAGCACCTTTGGAGGGTTTTCTTTCACAGGGTCACCATAAGTCAAAGGCAACTGAAAAGCACATCCAAACAAGGATTGGAAGTGGCTGCAGTTCTTGTGGGTAAATATAACTCACTTATGAGTTATCAAGCATCTTCGGAGATTGACCGCACACACTGTTGTTGAGTTTTCATGGCATGTGCAGGAAATCCTGACTGGTCTTGTACCCTATGCTCCATTTCCAATTTGGCAGACCAACCTGGAGTCTATTCCACCTGCTTCTACTCCAGATTCTATTCAATTATGCCACAAGGACTCCTGTGTCTTTTCCCAACTCTTGCTTAACGCCTGTTGTTATAGCTCAGGGCTCCCCAGCTTTTCAGACCAATGGCTACATTTGGAATTTGAGGGAATATCATGGCCGCAGTTGGTGGAAGGAACTTATCCATTCATAAAATGCAACCATGGTGAATAAAGTGATTTGCAAAACACTCAGTTCCCAGAAGGCAAACTAGTGAAAGTAAAAGTAGCAGGCAAACTAGTGAAAGTAAAAGAAAAGTAGCTTGCCGAAGAACCGGAGTATAAGGCAAAGAAGGATCTGAGCACCAAAACACAAAGCCGTTCTTTGGAATGCTTCAGCTTCAAACCTGGAACTTAAATCACAGTGGAGCAGGACGGTAGCATACTGTACCGCACAACCTTCTGGGATACTAGATTTAGTTTTGCAAAATCCTAAGAAAAGTAATAAAAATCAGGAAGGGCAAGACACCAGTGGACACTAAGCAAGGTATCTGCAACTCACAAGCACCTCCATGTTCTGATAAAATTATTAATTGTCATGATGTATCCTTTGAAAAGGGGTTTTTTAACTTGGTATTCAGGTACAGGCCCCTAATCTTTGCTGAAACTTTCTGCCCCCAGTTCAATTGATATACAACATGATGTATATCCCTAGCTCCTCAGCAGCACAATTTGGATCCATGGTTTCTTATGTCCTGCTACTGCAAGTTATTAGATTTCCTGTTGGCTCTGCTTTCAGAAAAATATGGGGTAGCATCTGGCAAGAAATGGTCCATTGGTTGGCCATCTTCCTTGCCCAAAATTTTTAATAAACAGGAGTCAGATATATAATGGAAGAATCTTGTTTCTATTGCATTCCATCCTTTTCCAGTAATGGATGCAGACTAGCACACTGCTTTTAAATGCAAGCAACTCATGCCTTTGAATGTCATGCATTTAAACCTGTTAAATCTAAACATATATGAATGTCTTTGCAAACAAAATGCAAAGCAAATGTTAGCATTTCAGGGCAAATGTCAGACTTTAAAAGAAAATGGAATTTAGGCTTTTGAATTTCTGCTTTTCCTTTCCTAAGTTAAAAACGATGGAAGCCAAAAATGCAGGCCCCTGAAGTTTTCCACTATAACCTTTTCCTTTGGGCCATTTATTCAAAAGAGTCGCCGCCTCCAGCTCCAGGAGCACTTGCCCCTTAACTTCTCTCTTCCACTGCAGACCGGGAAGATCCAACAACTCCGTCAGCAGAACTGGAAAGCAAGGCATCACCCTGAAAATAAAGTATTTCTCGGTTTCTGCTGAGGTGAGCTGATTTTTAGTGCAGGAAAATTTTATGGTACACAGAAGTTTCAAGCTAGAAGATGAAGGGCAGAATCCAACACAACATCTATGCCCTGCTCACTTCCCTTCCAAATGCCTTGCGCAGGCTCCAGCCCCAGCCAATTGCCATGTCGAACCCCCTGCTTTTTCAAGGCAAATTTAGTGCTTCCTACGGAGAGTCCCAAAATGAGTGGAAAATGGTTTCAAGTAGGCAGCGCAACAGCAGAGCTCCCTTATGCCGCCTTCCAGAAATGGACACTTTCACTTCTTTTGGGTTGCCCTGGAACTGCTAAACCACCATTGCACAAGTGTGTCTGCCTGCCCATACAGGCTGCAAATATCCCATTAGATTCTCTTCCACTCCACTAATAGAGTTTGCTGTGAAATTCATTGCCGGTATGCTTGCTTCTGCAGACATATAATATTTGCTGAAACAGTGTAATTGAAAATAAGCCCACTCTACCCTTCAGAAGGGAACAACTTACCCAGGCTGCCTGCGTTGCAGGGAAAAGAGAATGTTCTTTGATTTATTTCAGAAGCTTTCAGGAGTATAGAATTCTCACTGATTTAATTGTGGTGATCACTGAATTGTGCTCCTATTACGTGCAATGTGAAAACACATTACTTGTGACCTAATGTTGTATATATCTTACAGAATTTACCCATAAACAATTGCATTTTGGATGCCACCACTGGATTCAGGACAAATGTGATAACTTCCGGTTCATGCATAAATTTCTGTGCCATGGATAAATTTCTTTCTGTCACTTACTTGCAAAATAAAGAGTAAAAACTAGACAATTCCCAAGAAAAGTAGAAGAGACAACATGAAAAATAATAATTTATTTTACAGTTTACACACAGGGTATGTTTAACCTTATGAGGATAGTTTGGGAACCATGATATTAAATAAGCAAAGAAAATCAGGCTAGTGTGTATTTACCGGGAGCTGCACTTGTAACAGCTCATTCACAATGGAAGCCATCACTTGATGCTTCAAGCAGGTGGTGAATGAGCTTATGTGAATCAGACCAGGAATCTTTGATGAATGAATATGTATACCAGAACCTGGACTTTAGTTATATTGTCTCTGTTTATGAACAATCAAATATCCATTGAGTGAAAATGCATAATTTATTGCAAACAACATTGTAGCACTTGAAAACATGAACATATTATTAATTTTTTGCTTCATGATGCAGGTGTGTGCAATAGACTTTCTCCTAATATCTCACCAATTTGAGTTTGAGGCTGATCCTAAACATAATATTTGGAGGTCCCATGGATTTCAACAGCTGCTACTTCCCAGTAAGGGTGTTTAGCATTGATACCTTTGCTTCTGTGTATCCATTGTCCATCCTTTCTCTGCCTTCTTGATAGTTTCCATTGCTGTATGAAATGCGAATTTTGTTGTCCCTCACTTGATGTTAATAATCACTGGTGGAATCATTGCTTTCACTGCCTTCACTTAAGGATTCGCTTTCAGAATCAACATCTTCTGTGTGAGTGTTGTCCTCACTGTCTTCACTCACTGCAGATTCACTGTCATTTGTATCTTCTGTTGTATCAGCGGAACCATTGCTGGCAGTGCCATCTTCAGTCCCACTGTCACTGCTGGACTGATTTGCCGAATCACTTTCACTGCTCACCTCATCTTCATTTGCACTCTCTGAGTCGGACTGGGTTTCATTTTCAGTGCCACCTGCCTGACTGCCACTATCTGATCCTCCCTCGCTCTCACTGCTGCTGCTGCTGTCACTGTCACTACTGCTGTCAGAGCTGCTGTCACTGTCACTGCTGCTGTCAGAGCTGCTGTCACTGTCACTACTTTCACTGCTGCTCTCAGACTTGCTCTCACTCTCGCTGCTGCTGCTGGACTTGTCGCTCTCGCTGCTGCTCTCAGATTTGCTGTCGCTCTCGCTGCTGCTGCTGGACTCGTCACTCTCACTGCTGCTGCTGCTGGACTCGTCACTCTCGCTGCTGCTGCTGCTGCTGGACTTGTCACTCTCACTGCTGCTGCTGCTGTTGGACTTGTCACTCTCACTGCTGCTGCTGCTGCTGGACTTGTCACTCTCACTGCTGCTCTCAGATTTGCTGTCGCTCTCGCTGCTGCTGCTGGACCCATCACTCTCACTGCTGCTGTCAGAGGCACCGCCATTTTCACCGCCATCACTGTCTGACTCCTTGCTGCTCTCACCACTCTCTGGATGACTGCCGCTGTCTTCGCCATTGCTCTCTGACTGCTCACTGCTCTGGTTTTCATCAGCGCTTTGTTCCTCATCTTCTGCAGATGTGCCTTCTGATTCCTCCCCACTGCTGTTCTCAGAGCTGTCAGAACCAGGCTGATCCCCTTGCATGGATTCGCCACTCAGGCTGTAAGCATTGCTGCTCTCATTTTCACTGGTGTCACTGCTGTTCTCTGGGCTACCTCTGGGTTTCGCTCTAGGCCTAGAGGAATCCCGAGAACTCGTCACATTATTAAACCCATTATCATTGTCACCAGTGCTGTTGTTGACAGCTGTATCATTACCATTCACACCCTGGAGACCAAAAAGAAACGAAAGCATCAGTGCAAGCAAATCATTCAGCCATAAATACATTTACCAGAAAACAGGGAGCCTAGTACTAGTCACCGATGTAGCTTTTACTATAATTAATGAATCACCCAAGCTGGTGGTGTTTGTGTTTAAACTCATTTGGTGCAATGGAAGCTGATGGGACCAGCTCTGGATGTGATTTATTTCTTTTGCTATTTGTTATTAAACCCTGCTGCTGTCAACTACATGGCTGCTGCCACCCCTCCCTCAAGCTGCTTTTCTTACCACTGGTGGCAACTGGAAATGATCACAGAGGTAAAGGCTGCAGAGAATGTGACAGTCCCACAGCTCTCTCCTACCAGCTGCTTCTCCTGAAATCACCCTGACCCCACCATACTCTTCTTAGCCTGCCCCATCTTGGAACACATGGGTCTGCCACTGTAGTTTGCCACAAAACCTTCGAGGATGGGCTGTAGCTTAGTGCTGCATTCAGAGGGTCCCAGGAATCTCCAGGTAAGCTTGGGAAAGGATCCTGCCTGAAACTCTAAAGAGCTATGAGCAGTAAGCTGACAATAATGAACTAGATGAGTCAAGAATCCAGCTTAGCAAAATGCAGCTTCCTTTGCTCTTCTATTCCCAATTTTAGTGGACTAGTAGTCCAGTATAGATGGCAGAAACACATGTTTCCTTGCACATCAAGTCATATCTGAAGCTGGCCCTGAACACACAAATCCATAGGCATGATAGAATGATTTGCATGGTGAGTTCTCCTTTGAGATACAGAGGGAAGTTGTACACATCTGGTCCCCCTGTTAGACAGTCTCCCTCAGACCCCAACTGGACAGGTCCCATTTGGACAATCTCCTCAAAGATGACATTCTCCAGGTCCAGAAAGTGCTCAAGGCATGGCTCTTTGAAACACCAAAGAGGCCACCAACATGGCCTTGTTGGGGGTGGGTCTTCTGGTCCCCCTAGTCTTCTCCCAACTAGCTAAGAGGTTTGAATTGTTGTGCTCATTTGACCTGCCAAGCTGTTTTCCTGCTGATGCTTTCCTTCTCCATTGTTTCTACCAGAAGCATTTGTTTCCATTTTACTGCTCCTGCTTTTAATGTATTGTTTAAGATATTTTGTAGTATCCACTGTATCCACAAGCTGAGAGGTCAGGATGTAATTCTTCTTAAATACAATTTAGGAGATTAATTATATGCAGGAGAATGAGGAGAAGATTCTGTGGTTCCTCTACCACACCTTTTGAAGAGCCAGCCCAAGGAGAGGTAAGCCAGGCCTAGGATTCTGGCTCCTCATTCTGATCCCTACTAGGGGCAAACAGTACCACAGTCCTACAACTGTCTCTGAACCAGCAAACCTTGTTCCACTGGAGCTGCTCAGCACCAAAGTACTAGCCAGCTTAAACACAAATAAGGCCCGTTTGTGGCTCACATTCTTAAAACAATCCTAATTTGGCAAACATTAGTAATAGTTTCACTGACATCACTGGAAGCAACTTCCAAGTGATGGTTTGGATCCTAAGACAGTTAACCTAACAAAGTTCATGGAAGGAGTTTCCTGCCTGCCTGTCCCCACAAGCACACACCGTGCCCAAAAGGCTCTCTAGAGGATTGCTCTCCCTGCCCTGAACAAGGCAGCCATGCCGCTAAGTTTCATGCAGTTTGCATGTGCTAATTTGCTTGTGTAAATAACAATTTAGACATAATGAATAGGAATAGAATTTCATAGTGGGGAAGAATGAGACCAGGATGGCCACGTGTGGGTCTGTTCCATCTGCCTGTCTGAGTGCTAGCTACTGATTGGCAGATGAGGGCCTCTGCCTCTCCCTTCTTAATAACAGAATCATAGAACAGTAGAGTTGGAATGAGCCATGAAGGCCATCAGGTCCAAGCCCCTGCTCTTGCAGGGCACCAAGTTTCACCATCCCACTCAGATGGCTGTCCAGGCACATCTAGAATGCTTCTAGCATGGAAGGAGTCCTTAAACCAGGACTGGAAGTCTTCAACTAGAGGACAGTGCTTTCTAAAAGAGGGGACATGGCCATAGCCGCTTATCTGGGCATAAACTCACATCAGGACTTACTTCTAAGAAGACATGTTTAGGATTCTGCAGTAATTTTTTTAAAACCCAATGTCTGATTTGGGGTGACTCCACATTTCCTCAGCATCCCCATTCCAAACCCATGCCATACTGTTCAGGAAGGGCTTCATCTCTTCAAACAGACTCATGGGGGTTCGGGTGGCAGCAATGGCAGCCGTGTTGGGTTGGGGTTGCACTGACTCTTGGGATGAGGACTGTGGTGAGTGAAAAATGGGGAGTGTGGGAATCAAGATGGTGGAGGAGAGTGAGGTTTTCTAAAAGTTGCCATCTCCAGGTGCTTGGACAGACCATGGGAACAAACTGGGTTTGGAAGTGCCAGGAGGGGACAAGGGAGAGGAGGGAGAGGAGCCCCTGCCCTATCCAGCCCCTGACTCCATGACGCAGTGTCCAATTAGAACTGCTGCCCAATGAGAGGGCCTGTATAGATCTAGAAAGCTAGCCCTTCTTCAAAGAGGCCCATCCAGAGGGGTGGAGCACAGGGTTACTGGACAGGAAGGTTTTCAGAAGTAGTTTCTAATCTGAGTTCAACAAACCTTTTTGTAGCTATAGTTTGAAAATAATAGCATTGAATAATAATATAGCATTGCAAAGAGACTTGATAAGGAGAAACCCAGCTCCCAAATGTCTGAAATGGATAAGGGGAAACCCAGCTCCTGAAAAGAAGTCTATGGGAAACTTTCTTTCCAGAAATTTCCTTAAAAGCACATGGCTGGCTGGGAGATGCTGAGAATAACTTTTTTTGTCTAAATATGCATAGGATTGCACCTGAAGTTAAGTTGGTTTAGGCTTGAAGCCAATTTGCTTAGGCTTAAAACTGTAAATTAGGAGCCTTGCAGAATCAAGAGGGTCATATGATCCTAATTCCCAAGTGATGGCATAATTGTATCACCTACCAATCACAGAGCAAGTCTTTATAGCACATAAAAATAGCACCATCAGCCTGTGAAGATCCCAAGGCTGACCCTGGGATGCTCAAGAAAAATACTGTGGATTCAGAAGAGTTCAGATTTCTGGGAGCCTGTGAATTTAACCTACAGATTCCATAGCAAACCAATAAATCTGCAGACTTGGGGTCAAGGACAAAAAATTCTTCAGAACTCTAAAAATAAAATGACTCTGTCAAAGAGCAACACAAGGAAAATTGCCTGATGATTTGCGAAACCCAAATGAAGCAGACTTAACATCTGCAGATCCCTAGCTTTACAAAAACTTGCCAAGCCCAAAATGCAGGGAAAACTTCCCTTCCCAAACAAAATGCAAAATAACAATGTCATGGCCCAACTCACCTTAATGGTGCCATTCCTTTTCTTTTCAAGGCACAACTTCACATTTTGGTCCTTCTCAGTAGTTACGTTTTTATGATCTTGGGAACTTTCTTCCATGCTGGTGTTGAAAGAACCATTCACACTGGCCCTACCGCTCACTCCTTCCCTATTTGGATTGCTTATTTTTGTACTATTATCGCAAGCCTGGCTGCTACTGCCATTATGGAGACCTTCAGTCTTGTTTCCCCTGAGAGCAGTGGTACCTTCTGAGTTTCCATCTCCCCAGCCATCACTAGAACCTTCTTCTTCTGGGTCTCCACCAATGCCACTGCCACTTTCATTAATATCTGTCCAGTGTATGCTTTCTCCATGGATGTTTCTTCCCACAGAAGTGTCCGTTGGGTTACCTTCAGACCCATTACTTGGATGTCCATGGCCACTTGTGTTTTGAGTTTGGTTCTCCTGGTCTCCTATGGTGTCCCCATGTCCTTCTCCAGTCATATTGCTAATGTAGGCTGTCTCTCCATCACTGTTGCCATCATTCTGACCAATCTCAGGTTGCTCTGCTTGGGTTGTATAAGGGCCATTCCCTTCTCCAGCCCCATTATCAGCACTGCTGGAATTCTCACCTTCAAAGTTACCCCCAAGCATTTCCTCTCCAGGAACAGACCTCACTGCAACTGAATCTCCTCTAATTTCACTTGTGCTGACATGGGCAGGGCTAACCTCAGGCCTTCCATCCGCATTCCCAATAGTATTAACCAACTCAGCAGCTGTATTGGTTACAGGCGCATCCATGCTGTAGTCTCCTCTTTCACATTCTTCATGGTTAGCGCCAACAGCTCCTCCATTAATGCAGTTGACATGTCCTTGGTTTTCACTTTCATGCAATCCCATGTTGCTTCCTATATCATTGTGTACACTGTTGTATACATCCTATAAGAATGTACGACACGCAATCAAGAAGTGGAAATAAAAGAGAAACAAAAAGATGGGTTAAATCTGTCAGTGTTCACTATGCAACACTAAGCAAGAGTTAGTTTCCCAGTATTGATTCTACGTACGGATAACTTTATGTTGTGGCCTGTGGTGGCAATCATGATGTGATCCATGGCTGATGTGAGGAGCATTCAACTCTGCCTAAGTTCCTAAATTAGGACCCTGACTGTCAGGTGATCTGTGGGCTTCATGGTAACATCTGGTTCGCCAGCATGAGAAGCAAAACGCCTGGCAAGTTGAACCTTTGCACTGATCCAGCTGGGTTCTCCTTATCATCTGTATCATAATAGCAAGCTCATTCTCTGAATGCCTATTCACATGTGGCCAGAATTGCTCTATTGATGCGCAAGAGGAAGAGAGAGGTGCCATGTCCTACATGGAGGAAGATTCCTCAGATGAAGAGAGCCAGCACAGTGGACCCCAGCCACCACCAGACACAGGGCTCAGGCTGCAGCTGACTGCCCTCCATTGGAGGAACAGCCAGGACCCTCTTCGGCTCCACTCTGAGTTACTCAAGAGCAGGAGCCAGATTCCGAGGGAATTCACCCCTTGGAGAGGAAAAGGAGCTCATGACCTGGCAGCAGTTCAAAGGGAAGGCTAGGCAGGCATGGAGCATTCCATGAAACAGCACTCTGCCTTCATTGGCCAGCTGGGTATAAGTTAGATCAGCCAGAACCTGCTCGTTGTGCCAAATGAGAAGATTCATTGTTGGCGTTCTCTGACTTTGTTAAGGATATATAGACTTTTGGACTGCTTCCTGGACATTCTTTTGGACACCCCACCCCCCACATATAACATTTCAGAGACACACAAACCACAGACTTCAGACTGAACTGACTAATCTTCGAAAGGTAACGCAGGGATTTGACATTTGTGGGCACAGAGTAGGACAGTAAGCAAGTTCAGGGGAACCTTAAGGTTTGAAGAAATATAAAATACTCCTCCATAAGGGAGGAACCCCAGAAACAGTCCCCCCAGACAGCCTCTCCAAACAGGCCTGATCTTGTATTTTGTTCACAAAATTTATCTATTTATTGATTATATTTATATCTTGCCTTCTTCCCTATCAAGGAACTCAAGATGGCTTACATAATGCTCCTCTCAAGCTTAACCATCACAACAACCCTGAGAGGTCACTTGGGCTGAGAGTCTGAGACTGTCCCAGAGTCACCCAGTAAGTTCCACACCTGAGTGGGGACTAGAACCCAGACCTCCCCCAAGTCCCGGTCCCACACTCTTAACCACTACACCACGGTTGGGTGGTGGAGAAGAAAGGAAGGTGGTGACAGAATGGAATATCTTGGATGAAGACATGGCTGGCTGGCCAGCACAGTGAATAGGGTATCCATCCTGCACCACCTTTTTGTGGGGCTCAATTGTATTCTTATGTTTCCACCAATGTGCCATGGGTCTTACCAAAGGGATCAGTCACTCCCACAACAAAACCATTCACAACAATGTGACCAGGTAATACTTCATCAGTGCTGAGTACAGAGTGTTGGTGGGGGGGGGGGGGACGCTGATGGCAGGACATCTTGAATGGGCCACTTCCCTCAGCAAGTCTAGCTTCTCTGCACCATCGTCACCACCTGCTCGTCCTCCTCCACTACCTTTCCATTGCCACCATGCTTGTTGGATGGGCAGAGAGCCAGAGAGGAAGCCCTCAGTGGCATCAGCTCCTCTTCTTCCTCCCCACCTCTCCTGTTGGGGAACTGCAAGAGGCAGCTGATCAAGCAGGTTGCAGTAGTGAAAAAGAGGAGCACGTCCATGGGACTCCTGTCAGTGGAGTTTTTCATGAAACACCCACAGTGCAGCCAACAGAGGATGCATCTCACCCTGGCTTGTCCCCCTTGGTCCTCCCACAGGACCTCCCAGAGGACTCGGCAGCACGACTCACCTTGTCTCCTCTGTCCTTGCAGATTATGAATCATTTTGCACTCACTGCATGAAGCCTTTTTCCCACTCTCCCTGCAGAGCATTGGTTTCAGTCTCCAAAGGAATAGCTAGTGACAGCCATGTGGCACATGGAAGGTGGTTGTGTCATGCAAGCCCAGCCTACACCCTGCGGCACAAATTCCATAGTTTAACTATGTATTGTGTCATGAAGTAGCTCCTTTCTCTGCACTGAATCTTCCACCAATCAGCATCAGAGTTCTAGGTATTATGGAGGGGACAGGAGCTTTCCTTTCTACACACCAAGCATAATTTCCAGACACTTCTATGTAGTTCTCTGGCCATTGCCAAAATGTTGAACGTAAGAGCAGAGTCTGTGATGATGGTTTCCGGTGTGAGATTGGATGATGAGAACAAGGGCAGTTCCAAGCAATAGCAGCTTTCAAAATCCATTGGATCAGGTTGTTCAGTAGGGACTGGAGGGGCTCTGCCCTCTGATCATTGGTATAATGGAGCTGGGCCGAGCAAGCATGCAGTGGAGACTTGCAGTGCCAATGTCAGTGGGGCAGCATATTTGGGGGAAAGGCTTCACCACCATGGACAGCTCCTTTAAAGCCCAAAGTGGGCTCACTGCCCCACTGACCTGAGAGTTACCCACTTCCACTGTCAAGAACCCTGTTCTCTCTGAGCCAAGCGGCATGCTGGAGGGAAATAAATTTTCCTGACGTAACCATTTTATTCCTTGTTGCAGTGTAACATATGCCGGCGTGGCTTCTGTGGGCAAATATGGTCCATTAGCTTTCCAAAAGACCTTCTCCTAGTGGATGAAAGCTGTTAGAACTGGATCAGCACTGCTGCCTGCAGCTTTTGGCTCTCCTCTCAGGTGTAGCCATGGGACTGTCATGATGAGTGCCTGAACTTCCTAATTACTTGATTGCCATTTGGTGGAAGGAATGAGCTAGATAAAATGAGGAAAATCTGGGAGTTAGGCCTATGGCTTTCATTAAGGGCCCCTAGCACCTCCCAAAATTCAAGCACTGCAAATCTTTCCTATGATAACATTTTAAAAACAAAAGCATTGCCTATCTAACTGACATATTGTATTACCTGTGTGTAACTATTGTCCTATTTTTCAAGCAGGGTATATTAACCTTTCCTAAAAGATCTTTTATGGCACACTTTTTATCGTTCTGAAGGTTGCTCGCCAGTGGGCAAAATAATAGGAGTTCCCATGTCCTTAGGTGGAGATCCAACTGCTGCTGGTCCTCTTTAGTGTTAAGGGATGGTAGCGAAGGCAGGTGGGTGGGCTGTTTCCAGGCTGAAAGCCATTTGCTGGAACCTGTGACATGAGCTAAAATGGGAGTTTAATTTGGCGCAGACAGGAAAACCACTGTTCTTTAAATATTAGTTTTTCAGGAAGTGCCAAGTTAGGCCTGGGCAGAATGTCAGAATTCAAAGGCCGGCAGGATCAAAACGACATAGTTGGGCATAACGATAGCATCACCTGAACTTTTTATTTATTGCACCAGGAACAATGAGAGGGGAGAGACGGTACATTACTCTGTTGCCCACAGGGGGTATGAGAAGGTGGCCCACTAAAGCTGGAAGCCCCAGTCTTTCATTTGGAGCCCTGAATCTCCGAGAGGCTATCTACCCAGCATCTTGCTTTCCAGGCATTTGCTAAAATAAAGGCCCCACTGCACCTGAAGTCCATGTATTAGTGCCTTGTGCCCACATTTGCCTTACTTTCTTTTGATTTCCCTTAGATCTTTCTGACTGACCTGAAATATTGTCCCTCTTTTCCCCCAAAATCCCCCAAAGTTCTCCTTCCCCCTGTCCACACATCCATTTTTACAAATAGGACTGTCCTCTAAAGGTGCTTTAAAGACACATACACACGCATAGACTCTACGGCAGGGGTCTCAAATGCGCGGCCCGCGGGCCCATTGCCGGGACGGGCAGGGCACGGGGGAGGGTCCCTGTGGCCTTCAAAGCACCGGCGGCACCCAGGCCGGCCTCCAGATGAGCGGCCCACCACCACCGCGGTGGTGGAATACTTGGTGCGGCCCAGCCTCACCCAGACTCTACTCCCAGCGGCCCCCAGGTCAGTTGAGTTTGAGACCCCTGCTCTACAGCATATGTAAATTAGCATATGCAGATTAGGGCTTCTTTTCCTGTGACCCGAAGCCCTGGATCTTTTCAAGAGTTCACACCACCCTGTTGTGGACACTGCACTTTCCTGCCACGGTTTGCTTGCTTCCGCTGCCTCTGCGGACCTTGTTGGGGCTTAAGCTGAGTGGCAAGAGCAGGGGCCATCAGATGGTTCCAGTGAGGTAGATTCTGCCCACTGAAAGCTCATGCCACAAAAATGCCATTGTGGTGCCATGATGGGAAAAATAGTAAATGGGATGTGGAATTGTGGAGCCGTTCTTGATATATTTCTTTTCTTTTGGGACTAGGAAAATGCCACTGTTTGTTTCTTAGGGACAGATCTGACTGTTTCCCTTTCATCTTGCATCCCCCACAAAAAACCCCTTTCCTC